ACATTTTTGGATTTATTGTGTGTTTGTGTTGCTTCAGGGAGTATTCCTCTCAGGCTTTTAAAAGACAGCAAGTAGCCAGTTATGCAGTGGATTTTGCTATGTGGGAGAGTTGGCATGAAGGCAAATAGAAACCTCTGTCCAAATGTTCTTTTTTCACACGTGGTTAGCAGTCTTGGCAATCTGGATTTCCTGCTCCAATTTGCTCTGTTCATTCAAATCAGTGAGATCCACATCTTGAAATGTTTATCATATTGTTATGATGAGGCACTAATATTTTGTGAGATCATATTTTTTGTTGCACAGGGGCTAGGGCTACTGGCAATATATAGTTTTCTTCTTCTCTGTGTCCCACCCCGACTCCGGTATGGGGTGTGCATGAGCACTGAGGATCTGTGTTCTTGTGCATATGTGGATGGAGCTGATGATGGGGAGTGATCCTTCTGAACAGAGAGGTGTCTTAGGGTATGTCTACACTGCAATTAAAAACCCGTAGCTGGCATGTGCCCGCTGACTCGGGCTCGCGGAGCCGTTTAACTGTGATGCTGGAGCCCAGGCTCTTGGACCTTGCGAGGTGGACAGATCCCACAGCTCGGGCTGCAGCCCAAGCTGGAACATCTGCTCCCCAGTTAAACAGCCTCTTATCCACAGCTCCAAAAGCCCAAGTCAACTGGCATGGGCCAGCTATGGGTGTCTAATTGCAGTGCAGACATACTCTTAGATGTTTGACGGGGCTGTGTGGCTTGCAAATGAACAGAATTCTGATCTGGGATTGACTCAGTATAAAAGGCAGTTGTTTTTATAAAGGTACAAAACTGTGAAATCTTGCAAAAGTGCAAAATAATTACATTTATTACTTTAAATATCCTGGTTAGCTTACCAAATAAGAATTTAGCAACTTACAAACCGAACAAGCAAGCTGCACTAGAAAAACAAACCTGATCCAGGTTGTGTCTCTAAGCTGGAATTTTACCTTGTATATGTTGCAAACTGTGAATGACTACTATTTAGAAAACATACTTTTCCTGCTCTATCTGCAGCTCACTGGAATTTGAGACAGGAGCGCTGAATTGTCCTTTGCTCACATTGGCCACATGTAAGATGTCTTCCTAGCTAGTCTTTCTGAGACCAGTAATACCACCCATAAGACATCCAGAATATACCAGGATTCTGGCAAAACAACATTTTGATGAGCTGAGTTACCCATATGGTTACCCATGGGTTTGTATTTCATCTATGCCACCTCTCTAGCTTGGATGTATTGGATGGCCAGGACAGCTGGATCAACAAGCAGAGTATGATGATAATTTTAATGGTTTTCCTTGTAGATTTCATAGCAAAAGCTCTTTTTATGTCAGAAAAACATATTTCCAAATGGAATCTGCATGAAAAGAAAATTTCTCTGCCTCAGTTGTAAAATGCCAAAAACATTTGGAAAAGAGATTATGAAGTTCAGAAACCCTTGAACTCCTCTGGATTTGCCCATCCCCAGTTGTCCCTCTCATCCCTTCTGGTGCATCCTGGCTTGATGCTAAATCTGTTCTGCAGGTTACAGTGCTGACCACAACCAGGCTCAATACATTGGTTACTTTCCTTTGGGTGTGTTAGTGCTGAATGACTTAAATGCTGCCTGAAGGCACATCAGGAAGATGGGGTTTGGTAAAATGCCATGATAAGGCTTGCTCTGTGGTGGGCTGGGCCTCTCATAACGTTGTGGGGCACTTGTAATTAATTCCTGCTTTTAAACAGTGATGCATTGACACAACACTGGATAAAATGTTTGATTATGCTTGGCATGATGAAGATGGGAATGAGAGTGTGGGTTGTAAAGTGCATTTTAATTATACATGTTACAGGCCAAAATGTCAAAATCAATAAGCTTAAAAAGTATGCGGGATATCTTGAAAGGTAAAGAAAGGAGCTTTAAACCGTTAATACTAGATAGAAGTAGGATTGGGCCCTCCAGCATGGGACAGATCAAGCACTTTTCATTTTCTTCCATCTTACTATGATCATCTGAAAACACATCCACAATATTATAGAAGTGGACAGACTAACGTACTCCTTTCAAAAAAGTTGAATCATTGTTATACTCAACAGACTCCCATACTGTGTACTTTGGAACATCCACCACCAGAAGGGACCAATAATCAAAGACAACTGTCACCTTTCTTGAAATTTCAGGATCTAGTTCCTTTTTTAAAAATATTTATCCTTAGACTGTAACTGAGACGGAACAAGTGGATGGTAGGTGGTGGTTGGTTGGTTGCAGCTAAAGACCTTGATCAGGACCATATTGTACTAGGCACTGAAGAAAAAACACAAAAACAGCTCTTGCTCCAGACAATTCACAGTCCAAGATTAGGTTATGCTTTTCCTTATTTTTAATTAGTATATTGTTTCTAAGGCCATGTCTACAGTACGGATGCTACAGTGGCACAGTTACAGCATTGCAGCTATGCTGCTATAGAGCCAATGGATAGACGCTTTCCGCAGTAACAGAAGGGGCCTTTCTGTCAGCGCAGGTAATCCACTTCCAAGCCGCAGTAGCTAGGTCAATAGAAGAATTCTTCCATCCGCTTAGCTACTGTGCTCTGGGGCATGAATTTTTCACACCTCTGAGTCCCGTACCCATGGCAACTTAACTTTTAAGTGCAGATCATGCCTAATAGTTATTCCAGACTGGAGCATGCATAGTGTAGATAGAATCTTTGGAGATCAGGAGATTTTATCAGGTAGACTCTAAATAGTCTCTACTGAGCATGTGCCAACTGTGATTTTCCCCCTCCCCCCATAGTTTTATAACTTGGCCAAATTTGGTTGGATTTTCATGGGGACAGCAAAAGGCACATCCCTAACACAAAGACCCCCTTTTTGCCATATTTCAATTTCCTGCTTCAGAAGCTGGTGGTGCTCGAGCTTTTGAGAGAAAAGATCACCAGAATTTTTTAAATGGATAAAACAACATATTTTTTTCTCTAGTTTCGTTCTCAGAAACAGATGAACCATTTTGGCTGAAATTTCCCAGAAAAATATCAGTCTAAAGCAGACACTGGGCATGGAAAACTTCAGCCTAAATGGTTAAAGTCTGTCAAAATTATAAGCAAGCGTAAACAGGCTCTTATAATGGGAAGTATTAGGCGACCTTAATAGTAGGCTGCGCTACCGACCCTGTCTATAATAATGTAAACAAAATACAACCAACCACATCTGTTGCTTACTAAAAAGCATAAGAGGTCTGAATTTCATGAGACATTCCAACTGGCACAAAAGTCCAGGGCCTGATCCAAACCCTGTTGAAGTCACTGGGAGTCTTTCCCTTGGCTTCAGTGGGCCTTGAATCAGGGCCATAGTGAAAACTTGAAGGCCAGTCTGACCTTTCATGAAGTATAAAACCTGAAGACTAGTCTGAGCTTCCTTGTTCTGGGAAGTTGGGGCCTGATTAAAATCAGTGGGAGTTCAGAAAACTTTTCACCTTGCAGGATTGGGGTCTTGAAGACCAGTCTGACATTTAAGTCACCTCCTACTCTTAAATGTCAACATTTATAAATAAGTAGATGACAAGGGCCTGAGGTTATACAGCTTTCTCTACCGTACATAGTTTGGGTTACTATGTTTTAGGCACGATGCTTACAGAAGGTTTTTTTTAAAGAGATTGTATTTTCTAGAGTGCATCCAGCTGCACTCACTTTTCTTTGTTGTTGTTAAACTCAAATTCCTTCTCATACAGGTTTTGGTTCTGTTGCTTTTGTCAGCAGTGAAAGCTTTTCTTCATATTTCAAAGGGGCCTAGCATCACTAACTTCCTGCTATGGAAAAGTTGAACAAATAGCCACAAATTAAGAATCTCTCTTTCTTGCGGAAGTGTTGTGACCTCATTTTTACAGTGACTTGAAGGGCTAAAGGTAGTTAGAGGATCTTGTGTATTGAGAGATTTGGAGGAAATCAAAATTAAATTTCTATACTAGATGTTCACAGGAAAAACTGTGCTCTTTCCTTGCATGGAGTGCTGACTTTGAATACAAGCACTGTAACCTGTTTCATAATCTTCGGAGACTGTATAAACTGAATTTTTTTTTATTCCTTATTTTTAACACGTTCTCAAAAGCTCAACGATAATGTTTCTTCTATTTTCTCCAAGTTAAAAACATTCTTCACCTCCTACATACTTACCCCCCTCAATTATCTTCTCCTATGTTCTACTTGTTTTTCTTCCTCAGAAAAACGAAAAGTTTGTAGGGTCCTATATAAGCATATTTAGTATTTAGTTACTTTAGTGCCATAGTGACAGTCATTAATTATTTTAAAATGGGTATTAGAATTTGGAGAACACTTTACTGTTCTCTTTACTGGATCTCTCTAAAAATAATTTAGAGAGATCCAGTTTTTGAGCTTTATAATGCTTGACCTCAAGCCTTTAATTTTACCTGCCTGTGGAGCAGGGAGGGTTTGCACAGACAAAGGGCATCCTGTATATTTGACACACTTCAATTAATAATCATAACTAACTAGTCAAGTGACTTGTAATAGAAATGGAGCATGTGAACTCTACTTAAAAAGAGAGATGCTTTAAAGAAGCTCAGTTCTTCCTGATTATGCCTCCCTCTCTAGTTTTTGAGCACAGAATTGGATTAAAGAGCTTCTGAGTTTTAATTATGGCCTGATAGTGACTTCTTCTGTGCTGGGAAAGTCATACATGGAGATTTGTGAGCATTAAGTAGTTGGTGGTTGTAAATAGAGCTGGTTGGGGAAACAATTATGATAATTTCTGCAATTTTTTTCATTTGAAATTTTGTTAAATTTTAGAAATAAAATGTTGACTAATTCTAATTAGATAATGCTTTGAAAATGGAAAATGATACAAATGCTTATCATTATAGCTTTAATGTTAACACATTAATAGACATAGGATGGTTAGAGCATTGTGCCAGTGATTTTTCAGTGTGAAAAACAAGCTACTTTCCACTAAGTATTTAAGCAAGTGTTTGTTCATTTGCATTTCAGCTACCTGACGGCAAGTAACAACCAGAATTTCTTGTATATTGCAAGGCCATTTTTGAAGAGGGCTGCTTTAGTAATAAGTTATGTAAGTATGAGTGATTTTAAAAATGTGGTGGTGTACATCTAAATAATATTAACATAAATGTTGCTGAATAGTTCACCAACAGAACTAGAAAGCTGAAATTGCAGCTGAAGTTCTATTTTAAGTGGTTTGACTAGATGGTATTAACTCACAGTTAATCTTGAAAGATAGACCAATAAAATTTCAGCTGGACAGTTAGATGAAAATGCTGCTCTTTTCCACCTCAAATTCTTTTTTAGTTTACATAGGTCGTCATTTAAAAATCAACATTCGCAAATATCCCACCTTTTCTAAATAGTGGAGAAATCTCCAGAGTAAAATACACCACTGTGGGTTAATTGGAAAATACTGACTTTTCAATGGCAATCACTGCAAGTGTAAAGAATGAACCCCATCTCCAGAAAGCAGTTGACCATGCTGCTCCAGCCAGTGGGACAGGTAGTAAGAAGAAATCAAAAGGTTGCTCATTTTAAAGCATAACTTCCCTGTTGCCCACTACAGGCCAGATTCTGTTTCCCTTACCTGGAACAGTAGTTAATGACACTAGTAATCCCCTTGAAACCAGCTCAAAAATAAATCAGTGGAACTCTCTCAGTGTGAGGTATCACTCAGCATGAGGAAAGGTATTAACACATTCATACTCACAAACATTGTCTCTGTTTTGAGAAGGCTTAATATCCCATACAGTCCATGGCAATAGTACACACTTAGTCTGTGGCGCGACACTCTGACAGAAAAGGCTAGAAAATTATCCAGATAAATATTTGTGAAATTCCTTTTATGTATATTCATAACGTGGTTTATTTTTTAGTGGATGTTCAAGGATTAACACCCTGCTATGCCACTGATACTAATAGGAATTGATTCCATAATTGCCCTGGAAATTGATTCGACATTAAGCCCTAGTTTGTGTTGATTTCCCTGCAGTGTTTGCTAAATCTTAAAGAGCCATCTTAAAAAAAATAAAAATTAAGAGTCTGCACGTTAAAGATTTGGATTTCCATGTATGGTATAATATTGCTCAAATGGTGGTAACCATTTCAATAGATGTTGTTCTTCTCTGAAGGTGATTCTTGTTTTATATTTCCGTTTCTGGATAATGGGAGGTTCCATGCCAATGTTTTCAGAACAGGACAATCCAGCTTCATTCTCACCTTACTTACTTACAAGGTACAGTACCAATAACTGCACAAACTTATTAACTACATGTAGTTTTCTTGAATGAAACTGTTTTAGTCAGGGAACAAACAGATCTTTGTTTTGTTGGTTCACTTCTACACATAACTGCATTTCCTTATTGCTCTCCCAAGATTAGAAAACAGTTGGCATTATTTGAATCACTGAAGCATGCAACAATGCCTATGGTATTATGCTGTTGTTGTTGTTTATGCTTTTTTGTTGAAACCAATGAGCTTATCTTTATAAGGGTAAGGTTTGTAGCCTAGTGGTTTAAGCACAGTAGTGGGAGTCCAGGTATCCCACCTCTGATGCTAACTTTTTCTGTGATGTGGGGCAAATCACTTGACCTTTTTGTCTCAGATGCAGAGTCTTAAACTGGAAATAATGGTGCTTAATAATCCCTCTGGCGTGCTAATGAACAGTTAGCACTTTGAAGATATAAGGCAAGATAGGGGTATCAGGTATTATTCTTTTTGCTCTTACAAAGATATCTCTCTAGGTGGTGGGCCTGGCTGCCAGGGACTAATTAAAAGTAAGTAATGGTCTGAAACTTACAATTTATGTTATCATTAGATTCATTGGTGAAATAGCATAAAAAAGCTGATATAGCAGCGATGATGTTTCATTGCCCCCCACAGTCAAACCAAGGCTGGGGTGTTGTCACTTTCCACAACCTAATTTGGGCTAAGTCAGTACTTGGATTTGAGGTCACACTGGAGCTTCAGGAAATATTGTTATGATGCAGAAAATGACATTCTTCCCTCTGAGTCTGACCAAACCAGTATTTTAGGATGATGATGGGGAGCTGATTTATATTCAGGGGCTTTGCTTTAATTGATAAAACAAAGAACATGCATGGCTTGATAATGCAAGAAGGATCATAGTTGTGGGGATGTTGTTTTGAAGAAAGGATGTGAAAGTAATTGAAAGGTTTTTGTTCCAATGTCCCCATTGATTCCAAATGAAAGGGGTAGCAGTCCTGTTTGATACCATTTTCCTGGAATGCTGATTTGTTGTTTTTAAAGACTAAAGCTCAAACACAGCTGAGACTAGCAGACTGAGATCAAGAAGCTGTTGTTCAACATCTGGAGCAAAATTGAACTGGATCTCATTTGAGAAACTACTCTAATAATGTGCCAAGAGCTTCCTATTACTAGCAATACTAAAATTGCTTCCAGGGAACATGCTAGCTAATTTGGAAAGTTCTAAATTGTTACTTATGATACATGTTTAGAATTTACATTGAAGTGTCTAATAATAACATTTCTTAAATCATAGTATAAAAGACTTAGCTGTTTGTTCCTCTATTTAATGTTTATCCTAAGAATAAGATTATATAATATAAACCAACCCAGTATGACTCCAGTTATTTATTATTCTGTAACTGAAAATGTTTTATTATATTTGCAATTAACATTTTACATTTTTTGCAATGACTGGGATAGCTTTTAAGAGTACCCGTTGTAAACATGTTTTGTTTGTAGAGCTGTGCAAGAACCAGAATTTTATTCCCACAGAAAATTTTGTATTTCAGATTTTTTTTTCTCCCACTGCAAATCAGAAATACACAATTTTTTTGTGGGATGGAAATTTTTGAAAGTTTGGAAGAACCAAAATGGAGTTTTTTTGAAAATTTCTGGATTGGCAAGCTGGCTGCCCCACTGTGGAGCCAAGCAGACCGCTTGCTTGTTGTGTAGCCCATCAGTCTGGAGCCCAGAGAGCCATCCAACCTGCCTGTCTGGTTTCCACCTAAAGTTTTGTTGCAATCGACACATTCTTATGGAACATTTTAATATTTGAATCAGCGTTTTCCATTGGAAAATTTTTGTTAAGCTCTAGATTTTTGTAATGTGATCCACTGTGAGCTGGACATGGACCATAAACTAATTCACCAGAGCCTAATATTTATTGTGTGACTGGTATGGCTTTCCCAGTCTTCAATAACACAAGCACGTGCATTAACCTCAGTTAAAAATATATTTCCACATTTCCTGATCGTCAGAAGTAGATGCATCCTGTAATTGTGACAATTTTTGAAATCTTTTAAAAATGAATCTGTTGTTTGTTCAACCTCCTGATAAAGTTTCTGCAATTCTGTTGCATGTGCAGGGGTACAAACAAGTAGTTCAAAGGACAGAGTATGGGCTTCTCTATGTGGTAATCTACAGTGCCCCAGCTTGCTGCGCACTAACTCGCCGTGTGGAGCCTGCTACAGGGCAGGGAAAGTCCCGGAGTGCAGCTTACCATACTGCACTTCGAAGCAGTATTACTCTTAATCACACTCTGGGTCTTTCACCGCACTGTATCACTGCCCACATGGGACATTACTGCACAGAAAACTGGTGCACAGTAGATTCTCACCCTGGCTTGCCACATAGTAACTTGCTGTGTAGACAAGTCCTATGAATTCTTTAATTGGCAGACCCTGCTGTACAGTCTGTCTTCCAGTGTCACCAAAAGAATTTAAACTTGCAGTGAGATCTGCAGCATGCTCCATTATGATGACCTGTGCCTCTAACAATGGCCTCCAGTTGAGGTAATGCTAGAATGACAGAATAGGCCTGTTATGTCATTGAGTCCATCTTTCAGCCAAGGCAGAAAATAAAAGGTATGGGAAGTCCTACTCTTCTTGAAGACTCACTAGAGATGGGAAATGGGACCTCTTGTATCCCACACAAGGAACCCCGGTCTAATGAACCACTGGTTATAAAATTCATAAACTTGAGTTCAAGTCGGTGCAAGTTGCTGTCACAAGTTTTGCTATGGATAAGCAACTGCAGCACAATGAACCTCAGCCAAGCCTTTGTGACAACATGCTTAATGGGATTAGGATGAAATGGAGCAAAGTTGTAATAATTATGAAGGTATTGAGCGATACAAAGCTTGATGCAAACATGTTACCGAAGTGCAGTTAGTCTTAGCAGGGCATTCAGCAGTAGGCTTGTTATGCTTCAGACATTCTGCACAACGTTTCTTTATTCTGCTGTTCTTGAGGGAAAATATTTCAGTCTTCTGAATAACGATGAGTACATATTGTATTACGAACACCTTGTTAAGACTGAGGAAAAATATCCAACATAAAGTATGTCTCACAGATAATGTAAGAGACAGATAACAGCAGCAATCTTACCAGTATAACCCTTCTGCCCATCTAAGTTGGCAGCAACAAGGGCCAGGTTCTGTATCTAGGGGTTCCGTTTCAATAACGCAATGCAAAACCGGCTCGAGCCCCCACCCAGTGACCTGGGACAATTACATACCATCCCCTGGGTGCCTCTAAGAGGCAGTACTTTCCCTCTCGCAAGCATGGCGTCTGAGTGTAGCAGAAAATGTTTAATAACATGAGGTAAACGACATCAGCATTAAATTGGAAAAAACCCACCACAAACAGGATTCCTAACACAAACCATGAGCAAAAGACCCACCCCAGCAAACTGGGCCGTGCCCTTCCCCTTTGGTTCTTGAATCCAGCAACCCAAAAATCACCCAGAGCCCCCAAAGTCCAACACCCCCAAAGTCCCAAAAGTCCAACAACCCCCAAAGTCTCTGTCCCTGGTCGGTGCAGCCCCAGAGTAAAAGGGGGGGCACGCAGGGTATTAAGGGGCACCTTACGTGATCCGAGGCCAACCGGCCGTCTCTCCAGGGGGTTCTGTCGCAGCCTTCACCACGAGTCAGTCCACTTCCTGTTGTCCCACGAACTGCTCTGCTCTACGAGCTGCTCCACTCCACTCACTGACTGACCTGTGAGCCGCTCCAGCTGTCCCCACAAATGGCTCCGCTCCACTTACCGACCTGTGAGCCGCTCCAGCCATCCCTGCAAACAGCTTCGCTTGCCGTTCCTTGGGCCGCTCCAACTGTCCCCGCAAGGCTCCGCACCGCTCGCTGCTCCTCCAAACTGTTCCGCCAGCCGCTTAACAATATAGCTTCAGGCTCCCCCACTAGTTAACACAGCACTCAGTGATCTTTTGTTTTTTCAGCTCTTAGTGATTTCAGCTCATAGTAGGGGAGCCCCAGTGCTGGTGCACCATTGACCCAAAGTGAATTCAGCTTAGCAGTCTGTAACTAGACTCCTAATGGAATCAAAGTTAGCTCTGACATTCAACAGTGGAGAGAGAAGGTGGTGCAATTGGTGTTTCAGGCCCCCAAAAGGGGGCCTATGCTATCAGGTACAAATACCTGTCCCTATCCTCTCTTAATTCACTGGGTTGTGGAACCCATGTCCCTTGTCTAGCGAGTGCTCCTGAGGTGATGGTGAGATCCTCTGTCATAAAACAGTTTCATTGTCCTCGATTCACATAATCAGGGTAACAACACTTTATTCCTCCTGCCCCAATAACAGAGAAACTGGGGATCCCACCCCATCCAAAGTAACCACTATCAGTTGCTGTTGTCTCATGCCAGGCGGGTGGGTGTGCCTATGCAAACAAGATCAGCCCCTGGAGTTCTTTTCCACCCTCGCCATAATTCACCACCAGATGTCAGGGTAGAGCTCATCCTGACTCTGCTTACACCAGTAAGTTCTAAATACAAATATTTTATAAAATAAGTCTCTCTCCAAGTGTAACTGTATATTAACCATTGCTGGCATTGGTTGTGTGACTGCCATAAATCCATCTATTGAAGCCATGAATGAGCCCTAATTGTGTCTTTTAATTTGCTTTACAATATGACTGCTTTGATAGCAAGCATTTTTTATGTGGTCAAACTATTCTTTTTGTAATTTGGCTTTTGTGTGTGTTAAGTGTTTCAATCAGGTATATGAAAATTCAACACAGTGGAAATTCAGAAACCCAAAGAAACACTCATCCACCAAAGTTTACTTCTTTTACACTTAATTTGGATTTATGTTTGTTTTCTAAGTGATGCATTTAATTGTGACTGTTGAGGCTTCAAAGGGAATAGAGCTATTGAGCTCAAGGGGCAAACCTCTGCTGTGGAAGCAGATCGCTGCGCCAGCTAGATCTGGCAAGGCAAGGGAAGTCAGTTGCAAC